ACAAAGCCATCCTGTGTTGTTTTGATACTATTACCTTTGTGTGCATGTGTGTGTGCGCATGCGCAAGCGTGCGCATGCGCATGCACACACACACACATGTGAATAGCTTCAACCAATTTTTAAAGCAGCTGTTCTGGATTTTGTGCACCATTTCCAGATAACTATTTTTTCTCTTACAAATTCAAGAGTGTAGAAACAAGACAGCTATATAAAACACCTTGACCACTGGGAAATGGATATATTGAAGCAGATCCAAAGCAGAAGGATACAATGACCAGAATAGCCATTCATGTAAGTCAGCCTTCCTCAATTCAGATGTGTTGGACAACGGTGGTAATTCCTAGGTGCTAAATAATAAAAAGAATACTTCACATTGCCTCTCATTCTCTATTCAGGGTATACCTATCTACATGTGTGGATAACCACTGACAGCATCTGAGTGGTCCTGGTTCTGCCTGGTCCACAAAAACTTATACTACAAAGAGTCTGTTAGTCTCCCATTTCTGCTAGATCTGAAATGAAAATATCCCATCTTGTTCTGTCATTCAACCCATGTTTTATATGTTTTTGCATTCTGCCAGGTGAGAACAGTTCTGTGTAATCCAAAAGTCTGTGGATCAAAAACAAAGAATCTACAAGCAACAACAATGCGTCCCTCAACACCGGTGCTATAAAGCTGATGCTCCTTCAGTGCCGGCTTGGTGTCCTTGATGGAATCTTTGTTGGTTCAGAAACTGGCACGGGCCCATTCTCAGCATTCATTTGCTGGCCTGACGAATCTCGTGACTGGGATCTTTTTGATCAGGTGTATTTTGACCATTAGGCTTCCTAGATGGAGGATCGGGCCCATAGCCAAGCTGAACATTTGGGGAGGGGGTGCATAGTTCATCTGCTTTGCAGCCTTTTTAAAGATGGCATTGTAAGCCTTTTAAAAAATATATTTGCTCATTAAAAATGGAGGACAGAAAAAATATAGAGGGACCCCCCCTACACACACACACACACAGAGAGAGAGAGAGAGGGAGGGAGGGAGGCAGGCAGGCAGGCAGGCAGGCTTGGGGTGATTTAAGAGACAGGACTCCTCAGTTTGATAATGAATTCTACATACCATGCTGTGAGGTACAGGCATGTAACTGCTGCAACATGCATTTACCCATTGGTCCACATAGGAATTTGCATCTACTTTGCATGTTGCTGCTTTGTGCCCCCAGTTGGAAGGCCCACCCTGCAATACAGGAAGACTAACAAAAGAAGATGAAGAGTGACCCTGGGCAATGCCCACTGTCACATGCTCAAACCTGGTGTGTTGGGGATACAGTTTGAACAGCTCTGCCATGAATTCAGCGGGTGGAGAAGGGTCTTTTGTAAGGATGCTGTCTCCCAAGGTTCAATCCACATGTTTTCTCCCTGCAAAGCTGGAAAAAACGTGGAGTGAAAGGCTATATAGTCAATGTGGGGTGAAAGAAAAAGGGAGGCCTTTCCCTGCACGGATTCCTTTGAATGGCCTTCTCCACGTGCCAGCTGCCCCGTGACCGTCCGTGTTCACAATGCTCTTGCTCCAGGTTGGAGGGCAGCAGGACTGGCTGACGTTTACATTCCCGGTCATAGTCTCCAAGGCTATTTTTCAGCTTAAAAGCTTGTCAGGGAAGCCTCAGGCCCTGTCACACACGATCATTTTCCCTGTGTTATTAAATTGCAAAAATGAAATCTCATAGCATTTTCTTCACTAAAGTTTAATGTGATGGATAACTTATTTTCATCTGACAAATACTGCAAGGCACGTATCAGCTTGGTCTTTCATTCAAGCACACCTCCCCACCCCGGCACTTGGGGCTGAGTGGCAGCTATGGGGAAACCCGCATGGCCCTACAGATGGCATCTTCAGGCACGACATTGCTTTGTGGTCCAAGCCACTCATTCCTTCCCTTGGCTTGCCTACACAAGCTGATTTCAGCAGAGCAAAGCCTTCCACTTCACTTCAAGGCACCCAAGGAGGACAGAAGCGTCAACAGAAACCTCTCGATGCCAGGCCTATTTCAGGGGTGTTGAACTTCTTTCAGTCGAAGGGCAATATGCCCTTTTTTGGAAATTCTTTTGCAGTGACATAGAGGCACCAAATAGCATTTTTATACTACTCCTCCTCAAGAATTTGTTTTTGCTTTTTTTGCTTAGGAGCCTTATCCTATGACTGCACCTCCACAGCTCGAAGCCCCCAAATTCAGAGGGCTCCAAGATTTCAGTGCTCTGCCAGGTTGAAGCCACCTGGGCAGGAGGAGCAACCAAGGCAAACCTTACTTCCCTGTGCTGTGGTTGTTTTGCTAGGCAAGCTTTCCAGCCCATCTTGTGAAGGCGCTACAGAGGGAGAGGAAAGAGGCTGGAAGGGACTGGAGATAAATCATATCCTTCCCTCCTTGCCTACCAGGATGCCCCCTTCCCCTCCTCTCTCCAAGGTCAATTTTCTGACATGGCTCTCTTCACCCCAGTTGGACTAGAGTGAGGAGACAGACTTTCAGCTGCCTCTTCCATGATCAGAGAATGGTCTTCACCCTTGGGGCGGGGTGGGGGGAGGCTATCATATGGTCCCTGAGACACCTGCCCTGGGATTATAGGATTGCTCTCCAAAGCTGGTACTCATACCTCACCCTTGGGAGAGACATTTCAATCTCTTAGATTTGGCAGGGGGAATAAACTTCACAAAAGCCAAGAAACCAGTGAAACTGGGTGGACCTGAGGAAAGGAGTGCAAAGTTCTGAGAACCACTGTGAGTTGTGGCCCACATTGGGCCCGATTGGGCTCCTGGGCCTGAGGTTTTGCACCCACGGCCTCTCGGAGCACATGAAGTGCCTTAAAGCTGTGGAGGCTGGTGGCTCCAGTTCGATGTGGCCGCACATCTACTCTGGGTTGTAGCCTGAGCTTTTAAGGAGACTTCCGTGGTCTGGGACCTCCTTGGGGCCAGGGTTCCATGCCTTAGACCCTTCGAGTCTCTGGCCAGCTCTTCTCAGTCTTTCTACCAGAAATGTGTCTCCAAGTTGAGATGTGAGGGAGTTTGTGCAAGCAGAACACATGGTCCCCCACTGGGCATTCATGCATATGAAGAAAGGAGCACCAGCTCCTCCTTGCAGCTCTCCAGCGCAAAAGCCACATTCCAATCCTCCCTGAGAGCCTGAAATGCCAGCTGCAACAGAACTGCAGGCAGTTGCTGAAAAATGCTTCAAAACACGGAGGCCTAAACAGGTGGCCCAAGATAACAAAGCAAAGTGGAGAGCAAACAATTCGCACTCTAACAACAAATTATGGGTAGTCGTCACGGGTTGTTCGGGGTTAACAAGCCATGGTTTGTTAGCTGAGCTGAGTTCAGACAGCACCATTACACACGGTTTAACTGCAACACATGGTTCAATGATACCCCACACTCAGACCTAACTCAAAGAGCGGGTTACCATTTTGTCTGGCTCCCAGTCTATGAAAAATGGAGAAGGAACCTCAGGCTGGTGGACTACCTTGGACCTCCTGAGGTCTCAGTCTGGCCCTCCAGAGTTACCAGAAGCCCACACATCCCTTTCCTGGCCACACACCTTTCTCCCAGGTGCCCATCATTCCAGCTTTTGAATGGTTTCCCTCCCTGTCCCCTTCTAAAAGTCCGAAATGTCCCTAATAAGCCTTAATTACTGTAAGATGGAAGTTTTAAGCTACAACTTGCTGGCAGAAATGCTTTTGCCTTTGGACCCAGCAGCAATTGGAATGCAGCCCTCAGGAATGTCTTGGAAACTGATTTCAGCCTTTGGGCTGAAGGAGGTTCCCCACCCCATTTTAAAAGGAGGGCTTCTTCCTTGAATGAGATCGTGCCTTAAAGGAACTAGTGTGGCATAGTGAACCAATTAGCCTTCCCCAGATGTTATGGACTGCAATTCCCATCATTCCCAGAAGCATGGCTCCAGGCTGGGGAACGTTAGCACGGAGCATCAGACCGTCTTGCCCCAACTGCTGAGCCTCTTGTGCTTGTTGCCTTCACAGAGTAAAAAGGACGACATGCTGAAGACGGAACATGGGCCCTTTTGCGTGCAAGTCACATGTACTTCCACTGAGCTCTGAGCCCCTCCATCGCTGCTTGCATGCAAAGGGGGCAGAACTGGGAGCTCGGGAGCATCTGTGGTGCCTTTCCACAAGGATTCACACAGCTGGGGTCTGCAGTTCAGAAAATGGATGAATAGTGTCTTAGTCATCATCTGAATCAAGGTAGGATAAGTTTGGAAAGATGTGGAAGTGTTCTCAAACCAGTTTAATGGCCCACTTTCAAGCGTCTGTAGGATCTACCAACTGAATAACTCCTAACAAATAGGGGCATGCTGAAAAAAGTAGGGACTCAGAGTCTTAAAAACCTCTCTTTTCAAAGCTTGAATTTAGGACATGCCTGAAAACATTAAAGGCCACTGGCACGCTTTGAAATATACAACTTGTGGAAACGTTCTCACTGGGTGAATTACCAGTGAACACAAAGTCACAAACTCTATGGTGGAAGTGGACAATGTCCACCCCTCTAGATATTCTGGCCTGCAACTCCCATCAGCCCTGGCCTGCACAGCCAATGGTGCAAGTAGATGGGAGGTACAGGGCGAAACATCAGTAGAGTCCAGCCCCTCAATGCAAAAGTTGCCCAACCCCTGGATGCAAAAGCTTTAGCAGCACCTCTGTGCTGCTCCTCAGGTGTTACAAATGCAAATTAGTTGTCTTTAAAATGTACAGAAGCAGGCGCACTGAAACTACTGTAAACCTTGTAAAGTGGGTCGGTCCATCCATTCCTCCACCTATCCTGCAGAAAACGGCGTGATTCACTTTTATCTATAAGCAGAGCCCAGGTGTCTTTCCAAGACAGAAAACATGCATTTACACGTGCAAGAAAGCACCCAGAGCAAACTCATTGCTATCTCCAGACATATTTACAGGTGCAACCAGGCTTTCTCGCGACACATGCACGGACACACACACACTGCTGGCTGCCTTCAGGCATTGATTTCCACAGCACTGGGCTCTCCTTGTTGCTCTCGGATGATGTGCACTCCAGCAGTCCTCACCAAACGTGCGGTGTTTTGCGTGCGCCCCGGTGAGCTGGGGGACCTGGTGGGGGATATGTGCGTTCGGGAGGTGGCTGGAGACCGAGCTGGGGAGCGGTGGTATCGACGAGCAGCCCGAATGGGTAATCCAGGAGATCTTCCTGGGGGAGGTGGCGAGCTGGAATAGCCAGGTGGTGAGGGTTCGGTTGCATTGCGGGGATCTGGGAGGGATTCCTCATCAGCTTCTGGAGAATCCTTTGGGATGCAAGAGAAAGCAAGAGCCCACGGTGAGAAAGCTGGCAGCAGAATCCCATCCCCTCGGATGCATGTGGCAGCCACTTGGAAGGGCAAACGAAAAGAGATGATCTTGTGTGTGGCTCCACAGATCCATGCACAGGGCAGAGCAGTTCACCGCTCCCAGAAAAAACAAAGGCTGGAGGGCTATGCTGATCGGGCAGCAAGCACCCCCAATAACTGCATAAGGCAGAGCGTGATGAGCATACAACCATTTGCTGAAAAAGAAAGGCACTTCTGCTGGCAACCATTGAGGGGCGATGGGGTGGGGGTTGCATGCTGAATTTCCCAGGTTGCATCCCTGGCATCTTCAGGTAGTCTAGGAAGGAAATCCTGGAGGACTGTTGCCAATCGGCATTAACACTGCTCAGCTAGGTGGACCTATCGAATGGTCTGACCTCACTATGGGGCAGCTTCTAATCTTCTTGCCCATCCCTGAAAGGCTTGCAGCATTCCTCTGCTTGAAAGCAAGGGTAAAATGCCCTCTTTGTTTTCTGCTGCACCTCCCACCCCAAGAGGTGATACGGAGACTCAGACTCTCTTGACCTCACTGAATCCTAAGGACTGGCATCTTCTCCCAATGCTTTTATTTATTTTATTTATTTATTTAGACCATTTCTATGCCACCCCATTCACAAAAAGCCTCGGGGCAGCTTACAAAATAAATAAACAATCACATAATTAGCCATTAAAAATCCGGAAACATCTTGGCACAAGCATAAAAACCCAATAAATACAATCAATAATTAACAATTAAAATAACTTTTAAATAAAAAGGTCTTGGCCTGGCGCCGAAAAACAAATAACTGCTTCTGGAGCCAGTTGGTTTCCAGCTCTGCTGTTCTACAGGTCTATGACTGTGAAACTGTCCAGTGAGATATAGCTATTATTGCCCGTTCCCAACCAAACGGACTGTTCTGGCTCCGGTAAGCAGTTTGCCCAGCTTCACAGCAGGCTGCTGTACAATTTATTGCCAGAGGATGTCACTCCAGAGTCATGGGAAAGTGCTGACCTAGAAACACCTGGTGCAGCCTTTCCCAACCTGGTGCCCTGGAAGACTACAAATCCCATCACATCTAGCCAGCATGGTTGAGAAAAGCAAAGGAAGGCCGAGAAAGTCCTGTTGCACTATTGGCCTGCACAATATAAATAAAATAAAATAAATTCTGGTGAATGAGAACTCAGTCCTCCAGGTTAAAGGAATGCTATTCAAATTTAAATAAGTGCCTCCATTACTGAGATAAGGGATTGGGAACAAAGGGAGACTTTGGGAATTAAAACTGAACTTCCCTTTGGCAATGAACATTGAATTTGCCCTGGTAAAGGCAAGCTGGAAAGGATGGAAGAAACTGAAGGAATTGCACCGTGAAATCCTTTTTTTTTTTTTTCTTTCCTAGGAAAGACCCAGACTTCATAATGTCTCTACCAGTCATGCTACAGCAAGAAGTTGCAGCCCTCCTGAGAGGCAAGTCCTTAAAGGGGAAACACCTCCTGCTCGGAGCTCCAGCTAGCTGTGGGATCCAAGCTGGCATGCAGTGTTTCTCCGTGTGCCCCTTTTTCTTTCCTACAGTCTGTGGCTACTGAGCACGCTCAATTTTCAGCGGCCTCCTTTTTTGAAAGATTTTTCATGCTGCTGCCGCCCTTGGTTACCTCCCCACACATGTTGGGACCGCTGTCCCGTTTCTCAGTGGCCCCATTCGGGCTACAGCCCCAAAGTTCTGCATGGCGTGGACTAGCTGAGTTCACTATTAGAAGGAACGACTGGGTATGATTTTGGCAACCGGCCTCAGAGACCCCCTCTGAGCCTTTGTGCACTCTCTTGACCGTCAAGGCTATCCTCCTTGCATAGCAGCTACTTTCTCCATCTGCTTTCTTCTAGAAAAAATGCAGGGTGGGAAGGGCCTTGTTCCTATTTCAGCCGTCAATTCAAGATTTCTAGGAATGCACAGCTCCTGTAGACGCTCCAATGAGCCCCCATACCAAGCCAAGAATGGTTTAGAGACTCCACCATAAAGCTTGGCTAAAGATTTCCCTCCCTTTTACAAGCCCAGTGAACCCATTAAAAAGAGGGTATTTTATTAGCTTTGGGTGAATTCCAAACATTTGGATATGAGAGCAGCCTCACCTTTACAAATGAGGGCCTTTCTTTCTTTTTTCTAAGTCCTGCCTTGACTGCAAGCAGCAACCTGGCTGCCCTCAGCTGCCCAGCACCTTTCCGAGCACAGGATGGGAACGACACTAAGATGCAATGTATCAGCTTTCCCAGGGGCATTACAGGGTGGTGAAGTCTGCCCCTTTCATTTATGAAGAGAAAAACAAACCCTCAAGTCATGAATGGAGCCGGCTGGAGCCGGGGGTCAGACTAGATGGCCCAGGAGGTCCCTTCTGACTCACTCTGTTTCTCTTGAACGGTAAGACCCCAACTGTGAATAGTCTTAGAATCAGCTCACTGTCAAGGAGTGACCCAATATGAGGGGGAGGCGTTTTTGCTCCACCCCACTCTGAAACTCACAAAAATCACTGAGCGGATGTAGCACGACTCCACCATGACAATGAAAACCATTTTATTTGGCAAGTCTTCCAAGCCTTTGATTAAATCTTCATGCTTTGGTATTTTTGTTTGTCTGCTGCAGTCTGTTTCATATTTTTATTCCATTCTTTTGCTTGGTGTTATTGTTTTTATAATATTGTTTTAAATTATCTGTGGTTTAAGAAATTTTAGGGACCATATGGTCTGAAGACTGGAGCAGGGAAGGATATATTTGAAATATAAACAAGCACCGGTTCCTGGTATGTGGAAACACCCTGCCCCCTTGTGGTAGGATTGGGACATGACTTAAGTTCTGGTCGCATCCTTTCCTTTGCCCCCACTGATGTTCCCACATCCTCTGTGGGAAAGGGCTAGTGCAAGGGCTAGAGTCCAAGTCTGGCACAGTAGAAGAGGGTGGAGGTCAGCCTGGATTCCATTGGGGTTGTCGTGAAAGTTCAGAAATGAACTTTCCTAGCACATTCATTGGGGTAGGAACCTTTTTATTTAAGCAGCATTTTAAATGTTAATATTATTGAATTTTATTCAGCCAGGGCGGCTTATTTTATTTTACTGTATATATTTTAATTGTTATTGTTTTAATGTATTTTGTATTTGATGTTGTAAGCCGCCCCGAGGCCTTGGCAAGGGGCGGCATAGAAATGTTTTAATAAATAATAAATAAATAAATAAATAAATAAATAAGAGAAGCTTGAAGAAACTCATGGGCCATAGAAATACCTATACATTTCATGGCTGAGTGACTTATTTTCTTTCTAGTTGGCAGTGAAGATGCTGACAGCTCCTCCTCCCTTGTTCTTCTTCCTCTTCTTCCCTCCCTCCCTCTCTCTCTCTCTTTTTATAGGCAGTTTTTACCATCTTGGGAAAACACCAGAAATCCTCCTTCTCCAGCTGGGCATTTCACTCAACATTGCCTCATGTGACAACTTCAGCAAATTTAAAGGATTTGAGTGCCAAATCACAGCTAAAATCCTCTCCTACCCAAGGAGACCCCTTTCATAACATCTTGAAAGTTCTTTAACAACTAGCACCTGAACCCAAAGCATCTTCCAACGCATAGTCTGAGAAATTTACCTTGTCTTTCAGGATGTACAAAGCAACTGGATTCTTGCGTTCATGCTCTCCACTTCGGGGAGCAATTTCAACTACATTAAAAGGAGAATGGAAATCAGTGTTCGGTTATTTTGTATGCAGATGATCACATGATGGAGCACATGAGATACATGTCTGGAGAAAGAAACAGGCCTAATCTGGCTCCTTGGGGCAAATGGAAACAAAGAAACATGGTCCAGATTCAAAGAGCATGATATCCCATGCTCAAGAATGGAATTCAGCCCCAGGGAGGTTTTGGGTTTCTAGTTAAGAAAGTGAGTCCAACAAGCCAGATGGCTGTGCATCCATGCTCTAGGTCAAGGAATAGGCAACCTGATGGCCATGAGCACCAGTCTGTCCCCCCCCCCCCCATTTTTGACATCGAGCGAGCATGGAACCAGGGAGATGGTATGACTGGGAGGGCGAGGGGAAAAGCAGGAAGGGGGAAGGATTTTGCTAGCAGAGTGTGACTCAGACCCCGTCCCCACTTTACATTCAGTCTTCTGTTTTTTGTGACTGGCATCCCACACACGCCTTTCTGCACTGGTGCCCCAAACACTTTTTCAAACACTGCCCATCAGTCCAAAAAGGTTGTCTGGACCTGTCCTGGGACTCCAAGTCTGACCCACAGGTACCACTCCTGGTTCATGACTTCCTGCTGAAGGTTTTCTATATGAGGCTTTTCACCTGCCACTTTATGGACGCTTCTGCTTCCAGATCCTTGGTGGAATTAACATCTGCTTTTTTTACAGGTGTGAGCATGTGTGTTTTAAACTCCCAGGAGTTTTCCTTTTTCTTCCTTTCTATACATTCTATTGCACAAACACAAGGTGACACTGTGGGATTGCGAAGTGGCAAAATACAGGACTTTTCATTCTAGCTATTTTACATTTTTCAAATAATAACAATTTTTTCTTGCACTCAAAACCATGGGAATTCTTGGGAGAAACAGGAAAGTCCCTGGAGGAGAAGGGGGTTGTGTAAAGTAAAGTACTCCCAGAATTCTGTGAATGCAAACAACAAGCCACAAGCGCCTTATACAAGATCATGTGGCTTAGCCCTGACATTCTTAAACCATGTTCACAGATAACACCCAAGCTGTTCCTAGAAGATGCCAACCCAAGATTTCTTCTTCAGACAAAGGGGAATGATGCAAGATTTACCGTCATGTTTTAAGTGTTCTTCGTTCTGATCCACATATTCGGAAGAACCTTGCTTCTCCATTTTCCGTTTGTTCCTGAAACAAGAAGCCCCCAGAGACTGTTTTAGTTGGATTCCTCCCTGTTGAACAGAGATACCCTGGCACGCTTCTGCAGGGTGAAGAGCATCACTTCCCACATGCTACCATCTCATGGCAAACCCATTTTTAACCGCAGTAAATGAGGGATAAGAGGTCAGTCAGGTGGAACAAGCCCACAGCTGCTTCACTGAATGCTCCACTCTGCCCAGATCCACTCAGCGTCGCTCCCCATGGCACTGACTGGGCTGATGAGGTGAAAACTGAGGGGAAAGAAGTGTTCGAGGGAAGCCTTGTTGGAGGGGAAAGAAGGCCTCCTTCGTCCTGCTCTGGCTTTCTGCTACAACAGGGATGGGCCGCATGTGGTCCTGGAGTTGCATGCAGACCTGATGCCCATCACTGCCCCCACATCTTGAAAAAAACAAAGATGCAATCAAAAATGAAGTACAGAGAGCTACAGAGAACCAAGAAGCTAGTTTATCTGTCTGTGCTCCTTTTAGGGCTTGCAAACAAACTGGATTTGACCTTTTTGGTACTCCGCGATGCTTTGCATCCTTTAAAAAAAATTTCAGAAGACTGCAACCCATGGAGAATCTCAGGTGAAAATGGCCCCAGATCTCATGAAATTGTCCACTACTGAACTACAGATTACAGTTTCCATAGCTACATTTTGGAAAGCAAAACAAAAAGAAAACATCAGGGGGAAACTACATGTAACTGAACATCAGTGCTCAGATGACAGCTGCTGAAAGATCTCGACCCACTTATGGTTTGTGGCTTGGCTGTTGTTTGTAAAACTGATATAAGGAGGGGATAATTGAAGTAAGATTGCAGATGTGGACTAGAACCCACATCTTCTGCAATCAGAAAGTGGGCTTCATAGATTTCATTAACACTTGCTGGCATCTTCATGGCCACAGCCCTTAGGAATCCATAGAGGACAGTGCAGCCTCTGAACACACGGGAACTGATCTCCGAGCCTTCCTGAATAAGCAGATCCTAGGCTGGTGGAAGCTTTGTGACACCTCCTGCAACCAACCCCTTTCTCTGATCTGTTAAGCCAAGAACTTTGTCTTCTTGATCAAAGGTCCAGCTCCTGAACATGGTCCCAGGTTGTGTTGCTCTAATGTACAAGTGCACACAGATGTGCACGCACACAGATTCAAGACCTTGTTTGATATATCTGTTCAAAATATATGCCGCCTTTTTATACACACACATGCCACCTTTTTCCTGTTGCAAGGAACCCAAGACAACGTACATGGCCTTCCTCCTATCTATTTTATCCTCACAACAGCTCTGTGAAGTAGGTTAAGCTCAGAGTCATCCAGTAATCTTCATGCCAAGTGGGGACGAGAACCCACGTCTTCTGAGTCCAATTCTGCCACACTGTGTGTGTGTATGCGCACAGCTTCAAAGAGGGTACAGTGCAGAACAGCTGAGCTCTCTTGTATGCCTCAAGATATTCAGGTATAAATCATGTGGCTTAGACTCGTTGCTTCCATACGATACGTGTGAATCAGCTTATCACAGATACCGTACACGGAGATCTGTGTTGACATGCAGCATTTTGCAAATCAGCACTTTTAAGAAGGTAATTATCACTGTCTGTACTTTTTGCACTTCAAAGAACACTGTCTTTATCATTCTCATTCCACCCCACCACCTCCAACCACGGGTGTAAACACACTTGCGGCTCAGGATAAACTAGTTAGCATTTAAGGTGCCATATGCTTTTTGTTGTTGCTGCTGATCCGCTGAAACGACAGATACGGAGATCTAAATATTGACAGTTCATACTTCTTAGATGGTTTCCAGCAGGCACAGACAGTCACTAAGGTAACCAGAAGGAAAATTCCTCCAGTTGAAAGGATTATATAGAGCGAGCTCCTTCCTATAGAGACACAAAACACAAGAGCGGCATTAGAGGTTGAGCCAAACCTGTTAAGCCAGTAAGGCGCACACGGGGATGGCTGCGGGTGTTGGGATTTCATGGTTTTAGCTCCCACTGCAGAATCATTAAAAAGAGGCCTGATTTCAGTGGAAGGGGCCAGTAACAAAGGCCAGGTTAACTATCATGAGAGCTTTCACTATGAGTTCTGGTCTCGAGTTCCACCTTTGAGTTGCTGAACTATTTATTTATTTTCATTTTTATTACATATCTATAAAACCAACCTTCCTGCAAGAAGCTCAAGGCAGTTTGCATGACTCTCACGATAACCCCATCTGGTAGGTTATGTCACAGGTGGGCAGGCATCAGGTTTACACATCTGTGTCCATTTCTTCCCTCCCGCCAGTTCAAAAGACACACAACTGGAATCAAGGGATTCTGAGCCCAGGAGTTTGATTGAGTGCCAGAAGCGTATGGACCCACTGCCTTTCCACATAAACATCAATACCAGATTCCCTCAAGCAATTTTGTTTCTGCTATTGTTAAGTAACTGGAATCAGAAATCTTTACTGGCCTACTGCAAATGATCTAGATCAGACCTACTAATATGCCTGTGCACTAGAGGGAAGACTCCAGAAGACAGTCAGAAATTTAACTTCTAAAGATACCAAGTGCAGGAAACAGAGCTATGAAAAAAGTGGCTGTTTGTGCAATATTTGTGTTCTCCAGTTCTTGGGTTGTATATCAGCTACTGCTGTTTAATTTTATCATGATGGTGCATTTCATTTTAACTATGATTTTCTCTATTATTGTTTTAATAGTTTTAAAGAGCTGCTGCATTTTAAAGAGCTGCTTTACGAGGAAATGTTCCAAAAGGAAGAACTTCTTTTGTTATTGTGTTCTTTCAAATTGAGTGGGGGGATGGGGCAAGGCATCTGAACTCCTCTGGGGATAGTGACTTATTTCCAGACCTTGGTGAGGTGGCCAACCTGAGACCTTCAGCCTGATTTCAAAAGCCCTCTGCAAGCAATTGGTTCAAACGTGTGGCAAGGGCATCTGTTCCTTCCCTGGTAGCCTACAGGGCTAAGAGTGGAAGAGGGTAGCAGAAAGTAAGAGGAAAGAGACTGGGAGAAAAAGGGGTGAGGCACCCACTTCTGCACCTGCCCACTGAGAACTTTATGCATTGCCCACCCTTATCTGTGAGGAAACATAAACCTCAACAGAAAAAAAGTTGTCCGTCTCCCACCTTGAAATTAGATTTTGTAGTAGCTTTTCCTTCAGCAACTTTACGACACGCCATGCTGAACGTTTGGTGAAGGAGAGGCTGGAATGCTCACTGCCAGCTGGACACAGCCTGCATGGATCTAGCGATTTATAACCGCAGTTTGCATTTTATGGGCACTTCCCTTAAGGACACCATGGAAACCCTTCTGCCTTCTCTGGCATTGTAGACCCTCTGCCAGCTGGAAGGGGCAGAACTGCAAAGTTCTATGGAGCCTACACATTGCTGCCCAAAGGGATTTTGAACTGGGGTGGCTCAAGTTCTTAGAACCTAAGGCTGAAAGAAATTTGAGCTCTACCATTTTGTGCATGGGTGGAAGAAAAGGTGGTGGCTTCCTGACTCCGGCACCTGAAGAGTGAGCATAAGGAAGAGAGCTGCAGAGAGCGGAGGGCTCTTCCCACCACACTGAAGGAACATGACAGACCAAGGGTCCATCTAGTCTAGCAGATGGACTCTGGGTAGACTCAGAGTCCTGGGTGGACACTGTTCACCCAGGGCCAGCCAGCTGCCTGTGGGATCCCACAAACAGGTCAGGAGTACAACAGCCCCCTGTGCCTCCTGTTCCCAGCAACTAGTATCCAGAGGATTGTTGCCTCTAATACTGGTAGTGGCATATCATATATCCATCAGCCTGCCCCTGAGCATGTCTATCAGATCAACCCCTTTACATCTCTTCTCTTCCCCTGGCTTGTTTTGGCCTGTTTATGCCCATGTGCCCACATGGGTGCCAACACTATTGACCTCTCCCATTGTTCTGAACCTCTCCGAAATGCTTAGATCACCATACCCTTGTCCTGCCCCACATGTCTCTCTTAACTCATACAGCCCAATACTTTCCAGCCCATGAACTTTTCAGGTCCACCATCTTCATCCCCCAAATCCTTTCCCAATCATCATATTTTCACCCATAAAACATACTCACCTTCCCCTAGTGCTTGAGTCCTTTTACAACCTTCCCCAACCTTTGTTATCACATATGTTGGCATACAATTCCCATCTTCCCCAGCTAGCATGTTAAATGACTATACCAGATGATGCAGCTTGCAATAAAAACATCTGGAATGCACCAGATGTACTCTAACTAACCCAAGATCCATGTAATTGAAATAACTCTCGACTATTTTTCTGTTTACCCCTTCCTCTGATGTCTTCCTTATGTCTGTTCTTGGAGAGCAAATTGCTTCTGATGGGGACAGTTCCATTCTGTGCTTCCTTGAAACGTGCACAGTAGCATCTGATAACAGTCAGAACAAGGAAAGAAAGCAGGACCTTGACTCTCCCCAGGTAGAACCTGCTAGCTGGAATGCTCTCCTACTCCGATAATAGTAGGGTGTTGTCTCAGCAGGGAGCTAAAGACAACTGAAGCCTTATGTAGGCGATCCTCATTGCCTGGTGAGCTGACTAGATCCTTAAAGGGCTCTCATGTGAGACTTTTGTAAGTGGAAGGTCTTGCCTAGATGTGATCCTCCAGGCAATAAGGCAATGGCAAGAAGACCTAGGATGTAAATCATGGAATGCTAGATTCAGACAGCCACCTGTGTGTGTGTTCCAGACTGAAAAATTCACATGGCACAACAAACAATATGAAAAGAACCTCCTCCAGTCTTCCCACATTCCCTCTTCCGTGTGCTCTGTCTGCAAAGTGGTACTTACTGTACACAGTCAGTTTTATGGGCATGCTGCGGCCGTAACTGATGGGATTCTCTACCAGACAACTGTAAGTGTCATCATCTGACATAAGAACTCTGGTGATGGTCAGCACTTTTTGGTCATGGGAAAGGATCAGCCGGGAGTCATTGCTGAGGGGTTTGCTATCCTTCAACCATGTGTAGATAGGCTTGGTGCCATTCTCGTGGGAGCAGTTCAGAGTGAAATTCTCACTGAGCTCCAGCACAGTTGAAGAGGCCAGGGCAACATGCGGCTTTGAAATTGGAACTAGGAGACAAATGAACAGGCCAATAAATGAGGTGACTCCTGTTTTGGGAAGTAAAACAACCACAACAAAATGGCAAAGAATGTTTCGTATTGTTTTCAAGCAATCATACCCACTCTTGTATCCCTTTGTATCATCAGGTACCATTTAAATAAGCTGGTTGGTTGGAAACAAACAATTTTCATTTAGTAACCATGGTGTAGTGCGAAAATTTCATCATGACAGTCTCTACCATCACACTGCCAGGGAGAGCCCAAAAGCTACAGTAACTTTATGGACTCTCAGCACACCAGCTCTTGTAGTTTTCATCTCCATCTGAAGCAGGTCTTTCGTAAAATACATGCTGCTTAATTGACTCTTCAAGACTAAGCTACTTCAAAACACCCGGCATCCCAAGGGAGAATATCCTCACTATCATTATTAATTTTGTTTCTGTCACCCCATTGCCAAAGTGCCATATACAGCTGTTAGGAAAATTAATTTCTCCTCACATTCCAGTGAGCAACTGTGAAGACTGCAGCTAAGCTCGGAGGAAACAGGCAATTCTGCCTGGGGGTGGATGAGGGGTAGATGACATCAGCCAAGCTGGATGGGAATTATGGAAAACCTGACCCTTCTCCGGCTCCCAGGTGCCTTGCACTGACACCAGCTGCCTGCTTCTTGACAAGCAAAGAACCTGTGAGCCATCAGGCAGTGGCATCGACAGCTTCTCAACACCACCACCACCATTGCTTGGGCTGCAGCAAGACTCGGATGAATAAGCAGGCTGCAAGGACAAAAATGAGGAGCAACTCTAGGGGATCTTGCTGGTGGAATCCTGCCGGGGTTTGGGCCCTTGGCAAATGCCCAAACATGCCTACCTTTGATACTGAGCCTGAAGCTTCAGAGGCAGTGAGTGGATTTTTACCAGGGAAAGCAGCCTTTGAAGAAGGAGTTCAGTACCTTCACTTAAGATGCTTCATCCCTGTGGAGTCTTTTAGGCTTTTAAAAAAGAAATCCTGAGATCCTACCACAGATCTCTTCAGTCACATGTATCTTGGTTCCAGGGATATCTTCTGATGGTATTCTATGAAAGTGGGCTATGAAGGACTACTGCACAACCTAAAAAATGAATGATTCCCTCAACTCGGGACACCAGCACCATCAGGGCAGGATTTGGGGTCAAGACTTCACTCAGCAGAAGGGCCCCCAAGCGCAGCATAGTGGGCTGACCAGATTCTGAACTCAAGTCATGCATATGGCCAGCTGGGGTGCTGTAGGGGCTACAGAGCTCATTTCTCAAACCTGAGTCTCCTGATCTGGCTTCTAGACTCCACTCAGCCCTCAAGTTTTCCAGGGGACTTTGGGCCAGCCACCGATCTTCAACCTAGCCTCACTCATAAGATTGCTGGGAGGATAAAACAGAGAGGAGGAGGAGGAACAAGAGGAAAAAAGGCAGAATATAACTATAATAGCACTTTAAAACTGTCATCTAAAAGGGGAGGGAATACAAGACCACTGAATCTGGAGTCTAAAATGAAACCACTGCACCACAAACTGAAGGCTTCAATTTATTAAAAAAGTTGCTTTTTTCTCAAGACTGCGCTTACCATCCACAGTCAAGTTAATATTCATCTCCCCAGTGAATGTGTCATCCGTAATGGAGATCTCCACTTCATACATCCCCTCATCAGACAGCTGCAGCTCATGGATCAGCAGGGATCCATTCTCGAAGATCTTAATCCTGTCCCGGTACTCCGTGCGCAGGTTTCCAATGATCCCCGTTCCGATGGATTGCACCACGGTCACGGCCTTGTCACGCTTGACCTGCCACTTGATCACAGGTTTGTCACTGCTGGTGCTGGTGTATCTCACAGACAGCAGGGCCGACTTGCCAACGGTACCATGAATTAATAGCCCTGGGCTGGTGATATTGACTCCTTCAATCAGATCTAGGGAGAAGCGAGCACAGGAACAGTAGCATCAGAAACATGGAGAAGATCCCTTGAAGTAGCTAGTAGAGCCAGGGGTTGTTCATGGCTGAGCAGTCTAAAACGGGGAGCTTCCTGCTTGGAAAATGACAACCCATCACACTGGATAGCCACGTGCCCCCATTTTTAGAGGATTACCCTCTACATTGAGGGTTTGTAAACAGTCCTAAGTCACTGGAGAAGACCCTGATGCTGGGAACGATTGAGGGCAAAAGGAGAGGGGGACAGCAGAGGATGAGGTGGCTGGATGGGGTCGCTGGGGCAGTGGGTGTGGGCTTGGGTGGACTCTGAGGGATGGTGGAGGACAGGAGAGCCTGGAGGAATGTTGTCCATGGGGTTGTGATGGGTCGGGCACGACTGCAAAGAATCTCCCTTGGATATCAAGGGCTTTCATTCTGAGCAAACCTACTCGGGTTTGCACTGTGTGTTGACTATGCATGGTTGGTTTTACAAAGTCCCATACAAGTGTTGCTGCCTTCGCTGGCTCATTAAAAGTGGTTTAATCCTGAATCTGTCTGAGCGATCTCCATCTGCAAGATTGAATCTCAATGATCTTAGGAGAAGTTGGAGTCCCAGCTCTGCTCCTGGCAACACGCTCCCAAGTTTTGCAGTGCCCTCCCTCCACCTTCCTGGCTGGTGCAGCAAGAGCCTGTGGCTCGGAGTTCTCTGGGTGTTCCAGAGAATGGCAGGGAAGAGCCAGGCTCTGCCCGCATGCCCAGAAAGGCTGCCTTGCCACCACCTCCTCGTGCCAGGGGGCCAATGCCTGCATTGGCTTAAACTGGCCCCCACATTCACCCCGCCCTCCAAGGGATGCCCGTGATCCTCTGAGTCTGCAATCAGCCTCATTGGGCCTCATTGCTATACAGCTCCCCCCTGGCAGTTTTCTGAAGGGAAGCTGCAGCAGGATTTCTTCCAGGGCAAACAAGAGGCTGAAAGGTTGGGGTTTGCCTGCGGAGACAGTGCCCACAGTTAATTCACTCTGTCTGAAAGCGGCACATCACTGCTGGCACCGACCAAGTCATGAGTAAAGCTCAAGTCCTCGTCCTGAATAGCGTGAGAAAAGTCTGATGCCGAACAGAGTTCACGCTGGTGATGGTGGAGAAAAAGTCAAAGCAAGCAAGGAAAAGGAGATGCAGCTCTCCTGACCTTTCCTTTCCTTGGCACCCAGAAGGACAAGAATGTGAAGGGCCACTATAGTACCACATTGTTGACTCGGAACATGTGTCTCCATGTAAAAGCATTCGTTATTTGACATTTAGAATAACAGTGGGACAATGAGGGACAGATGGCTAGGTTTGAGAGAGAGCGAGAAAGAAGCAGACAAACAGGCAGGCAGACAGACAAAAAGGGAACTTTTGCTTTTAGCATCTAGAGTGGAAAGGAATATTTCTTTCACATACACTCTCTGAACGTTCCAGCTAGAACACATATTCTGATGGACATCACATTAATCTCACAGGAATTGATTATACTGCCTTATACTGACTTAGACCAAGGGCCCATCTGGCCCAGCAATGTCAACACTGGCTGGCAGAATTCGTCCCAGTTTTCCAGCAGCATTCTTTCCTAGACCTACCTAGAGATGCCAGGCATTGAACCCAGCATCTTCCACAGGCAAAGCATGTGCTGCTCTCTTGATGGTGGGGATGGAGAGCTGGGCTACACATTGCGCCCACTACAGGACAAGTAGTGATAGGCAAAGGCTGAGTCAGATTCAGAGAGATGTGGGATTGACCATTCAAAGCATCCACCTTCCCAAAAAGTGTTTGTGCGATTGATGGTAAGGGGCAGTTTTTGATTCAGGAGCATAACGGGGTCCAGAAGCATCCGTTAAATAATTTCCCACCCACTCCCTTCCCTGAGCAGAGGTAACAGAATAGGGTTCATTAACAATTGATTATAAATGCCACACTGAACAGGAAGCAATTTGAGACAAAGACTGGGAGGAAAAAAACTTCTAATGCAAAATGCTGGAGACCAGAAAAGTCTCAACTGCACATTACTGGTCTAGACTGCAAAGGCTGGGCACGACAACGGTGCTTTGAACTGAGCGTCTCCCGCCTCTCACATCAGCTTAACCCTCATGCGAAGAGCAGTTTTCAAGGAGGTTTGCAGCTGGGGAGGAAAGGCTCCAGTCGTCCCCTCCTACATACCCTGCACGGCAATCACCTTTAGGAAAAAAACCTTTCCATTGGTGCAATGTGAACTTTCCCCACACCTTAATTGGAAGCTGCCGTGCTTGAAGATGCTCATGAAAAAACTCCCCAGGGCTGCTTTCTGGTATATTGTTTGTGCCTTTTCATAGCCACTGTAAATTCATTATTGTTGGAGAAGATCAACTGATTTAGGATGAGATGTCATTGGAGTGCAAATTAAAGAATTTATCTGATTTGCCATGGATGGAAAATTTGTCTGACTATAAAATTTAAATAAATCCCAATAATTATTTTAAAATGTGCATATACATAAATATTTATTCTTATGCATCAGCATATATAAAATTTATGCAGACTGGTGAGCCTAGTGCTGCCTCCAGTGCCAGGCAATTTCCCCCCAGGCTTTTAAATAAATTTTACATAAATTGGTGCACTTTGCTCCAATCTGCAGCCTGGAATGTGAACATTATGCAAACACACAGCCGGGGGCAAAAGAGGACACGTGCCTCTGGACTATGAGATTGGGAGAGAACAAACGCTCAGTATCAGATGAGCCGCCTCCAAAATGGCTTCGGCAGGCAGCCCGGGTGCTGCGATCTAAACAAAACCAGTATTGATATGCAGTGGAGGAACCATGAATCAGCTGGGCAACAATTAAGAGCTAGATCAGGAGCAGTGCACAGGAGCAAAAGAAAGAGCTTAGACAAGTCCCGAAGTCATAAGACCTATTAGTATGCAACAATCTCTTTCTCTCTCGTCCTTGTCTGATGCAAAATGAAGAGAAAATCTGCTGTCGAGAATGATATGGCAAATAAATTAGCAGGCACTCAAGCAACTAGTTGAAAGACGCATTTTAGATTTAATTTTATACACTTGCTGAGTGAATCTCAGCGTAATGGGGGGACCTGTGCACAGAACTTTTAATGCCTTTTTTCAGTCCATAAAAGCAGCAGTGCATGGGATGCTGAACTGGATCGGGGAGATCAGAGAGCTCCATGGGGTTCACCATTTTCTCTCATACAGTCTCCCTAGCAGAAATCCTCCGACCAAAGCTGCTATTACCCCGTCATTAAGGAAGGGGTGGGGGATTTTCACAGCCAACAAGCCAGAAGCCCCCAACCTTTTTGGACCCACAAGCACATACAGGAATTTGGGAAACTGTGAGCACCTCCCAAAATGCCTAATCAGTGGTTAATGACTTTGGTGTCTACCTGTCACATCTGTGGATCTTAACCTGCATCTCATTCAGCAAAAATCTTCATTTTGTGTCCACTGCACACCACAACAACTCTTTAATAAGCACTTGTATCATTTTACAAATTGCTGGCACTCTAATACAGTAAATGCATCTTTTAAACATATGTTTCAGCAATGTCGAGGAGCTGCTTCCTTTTGGGAGAAGGTTACTACACGATTTGCACTGGACTCGTCTTTAATATTCACTAGGGATGAGGAAGAAACTGGCTCACTTTGCAACTTAAGGCAAACTAATCTAAGTTTGCAATTGAAACCAATAGAAATTTGGTTTTTGTTTGCAATTTGCATTCACTCCCATTGTGCAATGGAGTTCACAAACTAAACACATGCACAAAACTGTAAAAGTGCCCACAAAAATGCCTGCATTTGTGAAAATTATGTTGAAAATGCATATATTCAACATGCGTTAGGCAAAATGCACAAGTGCACGCAAATATTTGTACAAATACACACACAAACAGCATTAATATATGCATGAAAGCCAATTAAAACTGATATAACACAAAATTACAGACAAACTGGGAGGCACATTCACTCATGGGAGGCCACAGGGGAATTTAAGCGGTGCCTAAAATAGGTTACACTCGGTGCCTCGAGGTGAAGTCATTCCACAAGTAGGTTGCCAACATCTCGTGTCCATTTCTGTAAATAAAATCTGCCCACACAGGTGCTGCCGAGCAGAGGAAACTGAACGCAGCTTTTTCCTAGCCAGGGCCAAGGCTTCTTGGTAGGGCTGGGAAGAGCTTTTAAAACCCCGAGAAATGGGGGAGCAAATGGCACTGTGTTAAATGTAAAGGGGATGCATTGATCACCGAGACAATGGCAAATCCAGGAGAACTCCCATATATATATATATGTGTGTATATATATATATATATATATATATATATATATATTTCCATAGTATGAGAAATTACTCTCCCTGGTTTTTCACACCTAAAAACCAGAAAGCCAAGCTGAATACAGTCGCAGGGCTAGGCATGGTCCTTGCATTTCAAAGGAGCTGTCCATGGTACTGAATCCTGGCCCCAGAAAAGATTCAGAGTAAAATCTGGAGGGGGTACACTGACACTGCAGTCCACAGCCTTATAGTTCAGTGCTCATATTACACATGCATAACATTAATAGTTTACAGAGAACAACTAATGCCCCCTGCAACAAGTTCCTTTCCCATTCTTTTATGATTGGGACAAGGTGATAATAGTAGCTTATGTGGGATCTGCACTAGTGTGACTATAGCCCCAAGATATGTGGGTAGGGCCAGTGGGTCTAGTGGTTAAAGCACTGAAGGATAAGGGAGGGGCACTGAGGTTAAATCTCCACTTAGCCAGGAAATTTACAGGATGATCTTGGGTCAGTTACCCTTCCCCCCCACACACACACACACACTTATTACAAAAGCCCATGAGGTACTAGTCCACATATTTTTAATATTTTATTATTCATTCATTCATTTGGTGAGTTTGCTAGGGGACAAGAGGAGGTGGATTGGGAGCAGGATCTGCGTTCTGGTGGGAGAAGAGCGAAAGAGTGAGCCATTCCGCCTCC